AGGAGACTGAACAATGGCTGGCAGCAAGTTCAAAGGAATCAAAGTATGCTCCCATTAAACATTTACTTCGTTTTTGAGCCTTTAGTTTTATCTTGGGAAAGCTATTTAAATGTCAAGAATTCAGATTATTTGGAAGGTTAAAGATTTAATATATATTTTTTGTTTTCTGAAGTGTTTACAAGAGTCTTGGTGGTTTATTTTCTTTAAGCCACTTTAAAAAGCTCAAGCAATAGTAATAATTACTTTAAGAAAATTAAATTTGGCTATCCTTCAACTTAATTATAGAGCTTTGATTTTTTTCTCCTTTATCTATATATCTATCTATCTGGCTACCTATCTATCTATCTATCTATCTATCTATCTATCTATCTATCTATATTCCTCTATCTAACAGAAACTTAGAAAAATGTCAGAAGTGAGCCAGATGTGAGCCAGATGTATTGACTTATGCCCGTAATTCCAGCACTTTGGAAGGCCAAGGTGGGCAAATCACTTAAGCTCAGGAGTCCCAGACCAACCTGGGCAACTTGGCAAAACTGCATCTCTACAAACAAAACAAAGCAAAACAAAAAGAATAGAAAAGAAAATTAGCTAGGCATGGTGGTGCGTTTCTGTAGTCCCAACTACTCAGGAGGCTGAAGTGGCAGGATCGCTTGAGCCAAGGTGATAGATGTTGTAGTGAACCAAGATTGTATCACTGCACTCCAGCCCGGGGAAATGGAGTGAAACCTTGTATCAAATAAATAAATAAATAAATAAATAAGATGTGTTGTTGATAAGCCTAGATACTACAATAAGCTTGAATTTGAAGCCAACAGGGGCATTTTATTCCACTTTCCCTGTGAGTTGAACTTACTCACCTAGTCACAAATTGGAAAACTGACAACTGCAAGCCTCCTCTGCAGGTTCTTCTAGTCTGCCCTGGAGGGCTAACCACAAGACAGAGATAACTCCAGGTGGACCATTTCAACAACAAAGCACCAAATAGGAAGAGATATAAAGCATCTGCAAACAGACTTATCCAACCCAACCATCTGACTTCCCCAGTGCAGGGCAGGGTCCCACAGTCTCACTTTGGCAGGGTGCATGCAATCCACCAAACATTTTGTAAAATAATGTGTACCCTTTCCTTATTTTGGAGTTTTCCCTGGAAGGCAGGTTCCAGCCAAAGACTATGTGTTCCAGTCCACCTCTTGCCTCCAGGTGTAATCATATGACTATTTTTTCACTAATGGAATATTAATAGAAAGTATGTATGTCAGTTCTGAACCATGAAGCACCTTATTCTCCATCTCTTTCCTTTTCTCATTGGGTACTTAGAGGTAGACATTTTCAAGACCCTAACAAATGGTGGAGCCATTCAAGGGAGGGGTCTACATTCTTAAGCCACTTTATGAAAGACAGTTAGATCTAATGGCATGGTACTGGTACTGTTACATGAGTGAAAAAGGTATCTCCATTGTGCTGAGCTAAGCCATTGAAAGTTGAAGATTTGTTACAACAGCTAGCATTATCTTAATTTACACAGCTACTGTTCTCTAGGGTAGAAGAGAGAGAGAAAGGGGTCCAAAAAATGGGTGAGGTTTTCTTTCTAAGATTTCTAGTGGGATAGAAATTTTTATCAAATAGGCTGAAGTAGATATTAGGAGAGAGAAAAAAATATATAACTTCCCTTATAGTAAGTCCCCAAATGCCAAAGGGACTAAGTTAATTTAGCAGTTAAATTTCAGCCCCTTGGAAGACAGGCAGACAAGTAAGCAGGCTGCCACATAAATCTTCCTGATAGTTCCCTTAAGAGACTAGTTTAAGGGAATTCCAGCAGCTCTAAGACCATTTTTAAGGCTTCTCAGGGTAAAGCAACAGGATGAGTTGAAAAATAAAAAATCTTTCCAGGGATTGATTAAGTTATTTTGGTCTAAGCTGTTGCCAATTGTTTCTGAAAGAAGGCAGAGCATATTTTATATACAAACCTACAAAGGGTAGGCTTTGAAATGGGATAACATTGGAATTGGAGAATTTTCTTCTTGATGTAGTCTAGGTATTAATAATCCTTTTAGACTTCCAGCCCATCTGATTTTATAAGGAAAAAATACTTTGAACAGTTTTGAATTCGTCCTGGGTATCATGAAAAGTAACTTCTCAGATACGCAAATGATGGCTTCAGAGGAACTCGGCTTCTGAGTTGTGTGACAATTTCAAGACACGCACACACAAAATTTGATAGCATTTTTCTTCAATATATTTTATATCATATTAATTGATTTATTAAGTTGTTAACTAACAAATATATAGCGAATACCTACTATTTCAAACCCTCTTATAGGTGCTGAGGATACTGAATAAAGAAGACAAAAATCCCCATGCCAGTAGAGTTAAACTCTGCTGGGAAAATAGATGAAAAGAAAGAGATACATTCCAGAATATGCCAGAAGGTTGTTAACAATATGAACACAAATAAAGCAGGCCTCCAACTTCATAAATGTATGGAATATCTTGATTTATGTCACAGAGGCAACTGTTTCATTTAAAATGCAAACTCTTAGAGATTGCAGTCATTCTGGGCAGCCTGCTTTTAATGCCAGAATTTCAAGTGTCTTTTGTGGTTGTCTAATATAGAGAGGAAATTAGAGCTGGTACTTTTTCTTTCTTTCTTTTTTGCCTATTTTTTAAAAACGGGTTTTAAATTTCTTGCTTGAAGGAGCACTTATCTAGCAATAGCAAATGATTTCTTTATCATATAGTCTTTTGAAATGTAAACGCAGAAAATGAAGGTCTCTTTGCTAAGAAGTCCAGGAATGACTCATTTATATTCTCTTGAATTGCTTTTATACCTAAAGAGTTTCTAGCATAGTCATCTGGCAACTGTCATTAACAAAGAGGAGTGACAATTTTCAGGCTTCTGCTGCTGCTTGCTAGCTGTGTGACCTTGGGAAAGTTCCTGAAACTCTCTGAGTCATTTCCTTACCGAAAACATAGAAAGAATAATACCCAGCTCCTTGGGTTACTATAAGAATTAAATGAAATAATGTATTTCCTGGCTTCGCATTCCCTTGGAATATGGTAGCTACTACTATTATTACTACCATTTTTATTATCACACTTACTTCACAATTTTAAAAGCACGGCAAATCATGCATGAAGTCCTCTTGATTCTTTATTTTTCAGAATCATAAATTAATGTTCATGTCATTGATTCAAGGACCATTGCTCGCAGGATAACCACAAATTGTTGTCAGATGACAAATCAATTAACTGGTTGGCTTGGAACAGATTTTTTTAAGTGTTTCACTAATCTCCACTTGCAGAAGAAAATAACATTCTTACTAAGAATAGTTGTGCTTGGAACTTCACAGAAAGTCTTTATATAAGATCATCAAACTGTCTATATTACAATTCACTTAGTACCATCGGCCATATTTATAAGTTGATTGCATATGAATTGGCTGCTATTTTCTAGAGTTCGTCATTAGACCAACTGTCTTACAGTCTGGCTATCTCTGTCATACAGTTACCTCCAAGAAATTATTCTATGTTTACCCAATTTTTAAAACAAAAATATAAGTAGTAATAAACCCTACAAACGTGATTGTATTATCTGCACTATATATCACTCTCAATCTTTGTAGATACTACATTCTGATTTAATAGTGGAATGCTTCTTTTAGCTGATATATAGAGTAATAGGTGTAGAAAACTCTAATGTTGACTTTTTCTTACCTTTCTGTTTCTGTGAATCAATGGGATTGTTTCCTTTTTCTCTTTTCTTTTCTGGTGTCTCCCTCAACATTCAAAAAAGCTTGTCAGTCATAAAATTGTAGCATGTAGAAGATGGAAAGGAATTTAGGAGCCCTACATATTTATTTTCTTATTTTAAAAATAAGGAACCTGAGGCTCAGAGCAGTAAAGGGACATGCTCAAAGTCATAAAGTATGTGGTAAGGTGTTAATAATAGTTATAATAGTTAACATTTATTGATCATTCACTAGGTGTATTGCTTAATCCATTATAGGTATTGTCTTATTTAAACCTTCCAAACATGCTTGTTGCTCATCTATCTTGTTCACTCCTATATCCCCAGTGCCTGGAAGAGTTTCTTGCACAGAGTAGGTGCTCAATAAATACTTGTTGAAAAGATAAATGAATAACAATGTTAACAATGAGAGAACATCATATCCCCATTTTACAGATAATGACACTGAGGCTTAAAAAGGTTAAGTAATTTGTATGAGATTATATAGCTAATGATTGGCAGCATAGAGTCACATCAAGTGTGAGTGACTCTGGGATCCCAGTTCTTAACCTCCTTGAAGGGCTATCTCTGGGTTTGTGGCCTAGGTAGGGTTGCAATTTGTAAAAACATGCATTATGAACATTTATTTGTTCATTACTGGATTTAATTTCCCAGGGCACCCAAGTTGTAATGAGTTTTCCTCACTTTTTTGAATGAGGTAGGAAGTGAGAAATGAAATGACCTTATCTCATTACTAAAATACACAAACAGGTGATGAAAACAATTCATTTGAAATATTCTGTTTCGTATGAAAATAATCAAAGATAAATTTGACCATTGATGCTATTATATTTGAATAAAATGACAGAAGCAGGAATGTGTTTTATACCACTGGGAATTTGGCAATTGGAAGAACATATTTTATAATATAAAGCTCAAGTTCCTGACATTGTAGGCTTCCAATAATCAGATTCCAAACTGCTCAGCTGATTTCACAAACTTTTTATACTGGTCTGCCTGTTTCTCACGAAGTGACATAATTCATTTCTACCTTCCCCTAGGGTTCACTCCTTCACTGGAATGTTCTCATCACTCTTTGTCTTTTTGTCTTTTCTCATGTTGTAGCAGGCTTGTTCAATTATTCCTTTCTTCTAAAAGCTTTCCTGAAATGCCTTCAGCCACAGGCAGCTGTCCCTCTTTTGAACAATCATGACACTAATCATTTCACATTTAATCACAGTCTGATATGGAGTTGTCTTTTACTTTCCAGGCTTGACTGCTGTTTTATACAAATGGATGGCAAAGTATGCAAGAGAATGCATTGTGTTTTATACTCTCCATCATCAGAGCAAAGTGCCTTATGTATGGTGATGGCTCAATGGATATCTGCTGAAAAGGCAAGAGAATTGGATTAAAAAAACATTATTATACTGATACAAGAAATATTTTTCTGCTTGCTTTGTTTTATAAATTATAAATCTTCAGCATGACAAGCTTTGAAATGTAGGCTTCCACCTTGTAAAGAACAGAAAAATAAATTTAATATATTTTTCCTTTTCATCTTTACTGTCGGATAAGAATTTATGTAGTTTAGTGCTTAGAACTTGAAACTGAGCTCTATCTTTTATGCATTCTGTCGACCTGACTAATTTGTGGCTCTCTCTCGATTTATGTCTCAATTTCCCATTCTGTTTTCATAAACAACAATAAATGTGTCCTTAGAGGGAGATCTGTGAAATTTAATTTGTGTTTTGGGAGGCCTTTGGGACATTTGTGTGAAAGTGTGTAAAATGCAAATTATCATTGTGGATTCTTATACCTTCATTTGCATGTGTTGTTTCTAGTGCAATTCTGAAGGCTGGGAGTATTTTCATCACTTCATTCAAAAAGATTCAACCAAATCGTTTCCTCATAAGCAGGTTGATCCACTTGCGTCATGCTAATCAGTTTTTCATTTTCTGGTCAATTCTTAAAATTGACTGTAGCCAAAATGTTAATTATCAACATAGTAAACCCTGGGCAATCCAGAACACTGTCACTTGCACAGGCAACAAAGTGGAAAATTCCCAGTGCCCCGAACCTTTTTACAGCCCCAATGAGTGACAATCGTTAGCATTTTGGTTAAATCTCAGGCTTTCTGTAAGAAATCACAGCAGGAGATTGCTTTTAAGAAAGAAGTCCTGAGGCTCTCAGCTCAACTAGTCAGGTAAAATCTCTTCCCCCACAGCCTCAGGACTGCCAATTAGTATCTGACATGGCTGCCAAGGAAACGCCAATGCTCAGAGTCCTGATTATTGCCCTCCTCTGAGCAAGAGCCCAGTGAAAAAAATGTTTGGTAATTAGCTCAAGCCAAAGAGGCTCAAGACTTGTCTTTCTTTTTCACTAAAGACCAGGATGGTAGTGAAGGAAGCTCCAGTAATTAGCACACAACAGGCAAGATATTTCTCTTCACTTTAAGTCCTTCTTTATATGAGAGTAAGGTCAAATGAAAACTTGTCATGGAAAAGACAATAGTATGAAAAATTAAGGGATTTGCATCTTAATAGTCCTGGGGGGTACATCTTTCAGAACAGTGATACTAGAAACTGCCTTTTCATGAATTTCTGGGAATTTAGCGACATGGTACTAATCCTATATTTCAGAACTGGGTTCCTGTCTGGCTGTTTAAAGAACGGGAAAAACCAATGCCTATTGAGTGTTACTCACTGGGCTATATTCTTTTCATGCATAGACAATCTTTAAAAATTGCCCAATGAAATAGGTACTATCCAGTATCATTTTACCAGCAGGGAAATGGGCAAGGAATTCCTCATAATTATAGTTAATGTTTTTTCTTTTCGCCTTTTAAAAAACTTAAGTACACATTTAAAGAACTGTAAAAATGATGCAGGAGTTTTCTTGACCCCTTTATTGGACTTGCGACTGGGGGCCCTGAATACTGGGCCCACTGTGCTCAACCTCTTGCAGCTTCTTGCAGGAGGGAGCCCGTGAGTGAGTGAGTCCAAAATTCAGCCAGCCACTGTGGGCACTGGCAGGAGCAGGCTTTGTGCGGATCCCATGGCCAGAACAGGTGTGAGTGATGAAGTGAGGGATCCAGCCAGCTGCTTTGTGTGGCAGGAGCATGCTCCATGCAGGCCTTGCAGTGGCACCCAATGAGAGAGACAGGGGGGTGCCTGCAACCTCCAAAGCCCCACAGGGCACGTTACAATACTCTCTTATTTCTGCTGTTCATGGACAGCAGTGTGTTATCAGCTCAGTGAGCCCCTTGCCTTGTGGTGTGGGGCGGCTGCTCTCCACCAGACAGGACAAAGGGCCAGTGGGACAGTCTTTTTTGAGTACCTGCACTCAGTGAGTCCTGAACTCTTGTCCGATGTCCAACAAAAATTAGGTCACATGGATCACTTGATGGATGGTAGAGGTGGAGAATTTTATTTAGTGATGGAGATGGCTCTCAGCGGAGTGGGGAGCTGGAGAGGAAGGGTAGATAATCTTCCCTGAATTCTGGCCATCTCTGGCTGGCTCCTCTGAAGTCCAGCCATCCCTCTGAAGTCAAGTCACCTCTCTCTAGTCGAGCCACTTCTCCCTCTCTACTGACTGAGTCTGGAGTCTTTACAGACACAGGATGGGTGGCAGGGCGGGCCACAGGTCGTTTTCGAAAAGGCAGCATTCAATTGATAAAAATACATTATTCAACAAGAACCAATTGGGAGAGATCAGGCAAACAGGGATAGTAGGTCTCACTTTGGGCTACAGGTTTCAGGGTTTTCAGCTCAAAGGTGGGGTTTTCTGGAGACCTACCTCTGTCCGCCTAGAATTTCTCTGCCTACTGCATCTATCAGAAATAATGACTAAACTTTAACAAAACTGTTAAAGAAATTTTGGAGGTGGTAGTAAATTGATCAATTATATGAGACAGACTTTAAATTTTATGTCAAGGCAGATGAAGATAAGCCAAAAAATGGTGAGGATGAAAAGGGAATTAAACATGAAAAGAGAAAAGATTCCATGGATTTATCAAACATAAGTACTAGAAGGCACAATAAGCTATTTGCAACGTGGAAGTGCCTAAAGTAGCAAGTTTTGTAAAGTAGAAAATATACTAGGAAAGTTATTAAACACTTTGTATTAGTCAGGGTTCTCTTAGAGGGACAGAACTAAACGAGGGACAGAAATAAACTGAAAGTTTAGTAAGTGTTAACTTACATAATCACAAGGTCCCACAATAGGCTGTCTTCAAGCTGAAGAGCAAGGGGAGTCAGTCCGATTCCCAAAACTGAAGAACTTGGAGTCCGATGTTTGAGGCCAGGAAGCATCCAGCATGGAAGAAAGAGGTAGGCTGGGAGGCTAGCCCCAGCTCTCATTTTCACATTTTTCTGCAGGCTTTATCTTCGATGGAAGCTGATTACATTGTGCCCACCCAGCTTAAGGGTGGGTCTGCCTTTCCCAGTCCACTGACTCAAATGTTAATCTCTTTTAGGCAACACCCACAGAGACAAACCCAGGATAAATCCTTTGTATCCCTCAATCCAGTGAAGTGACATTCAGTATTACCCATCACAAGTCCACCCCTTGTCAACTTGAATCGATACACAACTCCTGAGATCATACATAATCTTCAAATAAAGACAATAATGAAGTCATAATTATGCCTAACGTAGTACAACTATCCTTCATACAACTGGAAATGCACCAATCCCCAACCCAAATACTATTACATAAAGTTAATACTTAAATGCTATATGAAGTCAATAAATCTTGTGTCACATCATAAAGGAAAAGGAAATAAAATGAAGATATTTTCTTAGTACAAGTGTATACCTGACATATATGTTTTTAACAAAAGAGTGAGGAAATATACATGACGATTTCAGTCCTCATTTCTGCAGCTGGTCATATGCTCATAGCTGGTTTTGATGACTGCCTTTTTCCACTACCAATTCTGTATCCCCTTTGCCTTCAGCAAGCATCTCAGCAGGTCATGGTTTTTTTTTTACCTGGTGGAGTGACCCAAACCTTCATACCTGAAGGGTCTGGACCATTTGTAGTCCTGGATTGAGCTGTTGTAGTTTCCCATTGACCTTAATCACAGGGCATGGTAATACTAAGAGACACCCTAATGGATCCCCTGTATTCCACATATACTCTTCCTTACCTCCATTATAGAATAGTATACTGATTTCATCCTGATAGTCCGGGTCAATCACCCCAGCTAACACTCTTAAGTCCCTTCTTAGCCTGTTGTCTTAAAAGTAGGAGTAGCTCAAAGTGTCCAGGTAACAATCCTAAATATCAGTTTAATTGAATTGTTGTCTCCCGGTGGCAGCATCCCTCCCTCTGGAACTAAGAACGTTAGACCGTCAGAACATAATGTCGCAGGAACAGAAAGCACAAATTTTGCTAGTGGGTCCCTAGGGGTGATGGTGAGTGCCACTTCCACTTCCACCCCTTGATTCCTGGACCCGTGCATCCTGGCTATGGGAGTAATAGTACCATATATTGCATGCTGATTCAGAGCATACATGGCCTTCTGTAGAACTTTGCCCCAGCCTTGCAAAGTATTGTCACCTAGTTGGCATTGTAATTGTGACTTCAAAAAGCCATTCCACAATTTTATCAATCCAGCTGCTTCAGGATGATGGGGAACATAGTAAGACCAGTGAATTTCATGAGCATGAACCCAGTGCTGTATTTCTTTAGCTGTAAAGTGAGTGCCTTAGTCAGAGGCAATGTTGTGTGGAATACCATGATGGTGGATAAGGCGTTCTGTGAGTCCATAGATGGCACTCTTGACAGGAGAATTGTGTGCAGGATAGGCAGACTTATATTCAGAGTAAGTGTCTATTTCAGTGAGGACAAACCTCTGCTCTTTCCATGATGGAAGAGGTCCAATACAATCAATCTACCACCAGGTAGTTGGCTGATTACCCCAAGGAATGGTGCCATATGGAGGGCTTAGTGTTGGTCTCTGTTGCTGGCAAATTGGGCACTCAGCAGTGGCCATAGCCAGGTCAGCCTTGGTGAGTGGAAGTCCATGTTGCTGAGCCCATGCGTAACGTCCATCCCTGCCACCTTGGCCACTTTGTTCATGGGCTCATTGGGTGATGACACGGTTGTCTGGGCAAGGAGGCTGAGTGGTTTCCATAGAATGGGTCATCCTATCCACTTGATTATTAAAATCCTCCTCTGCTGAGGTCACCTATTGGCAAGCACTCACATGGGATACAAATATCAGATTCGTGAGACCTATTCACTATAATGAGAATAGCACAGGAAAGACCAGCCCCCATGATTCAATTATCTCCTCCTGGGTCCCTCCCACAACACATGGGAATCCTGGGAGATACAATTTGAGGTTTGGGTGGGGACACAGCCAAACCATATCATTCTGTTCCTGGTCCCTCCAAATATGTTCTCACATTCCAAAGCTAATCATATCTTCCCAATAGTCACCCAAAGTCTTAACCCATTTCAGCATTAACCCAAAAGTACACAGTTCAAAGTCTCATCTAAAATCAGGCAAGTCCCTTCTGACTATAAGCCTGTAAAATCAAAAGCAAGCTAGTTTCTTCCTGGATACAATGCAGGTACAGATATTGGGTAAATACAGCTGTTCCAAATGGGACAAATTAGCCCAAAGGGGTTACAGGGCTCATGCAAGTCCAAAAGGCAGCACGGAAGGCAAATTTTAAAGTTCCAAAATGATCTCTTTTGACTCCATGTCTCACATCCAGGTCACACTGATGCCAGAGGTGGGTTCCTATGGTCTTGAGCAGCTCCACCCCTGTGGCTTTGCAGGGTGTAGCTTCCCTCCCAGCTGCTTTCATGGGCTGGTGTTTAGTGTCTGCAGCCTTTTGAAGCACACGGTGCAAGATGTCAGTAGATCTACCATTCTGAGGTCTGGAGGAGAGTGGCCTTCCTCTCACAGATCCACTAGGCAGTGGCCCAATAGACACTCTGTGTAGAGGAGCTCCAACCCCACAGCCCCACATTTTCTTCCTGCACTTCCCTAGCAGAGGTTCTCCATGAGGGCCCCTCCCAAGCAGCAAACTTTTGCCTGGGCATGCAGGCATTTCCATACATCTTCTGAAATCTAGGTGGAGGTTCCTAAACCTCAATTCTTGCCTTCTGTGAACTGGTAGGCTCAACACCATATGGAAACTGCCAAGGCTTGGGGCTTCCAACATCTGAAGCCACAGCCTGAGCTGTACGTCGGCCGCTTTCATGGCTGGAGTGGTTGGGACACAAGGCACCAAGTCCCTAGGCTGCACACAGCACAGGAACACTGGGCCAGGCCCTTGAAACCACTTTTTCTTCCTGGGCCTCCAGGCCTGTGATGGGAGGGGCTGACATGAAGGTCTCAGACACACCCAGGAGACATTCTTCCCATGGTCTTGGGGATTAACTTTAGCTTCCTTCTACTTATGCAAATTTCTGCAGCTGGCTTGGATTTATACCCAGAAAATGAGTTTTTCTATTCTACTGCATTATCAGGCTGCAATTTTCTGAGCCTTTATGTTCTGTTTCTCTTTTAAAATGGAATGTTTTTATCAGCACCCAAGTCACCTCTTGAATGTTTTACTGCTTAGAAATTTCTTCCACCAGATATCCTAAATCATCTCTCTCAGATTCGAAGTTTCACAGCAAAATGCCATC